TATTTCTTATAGAAATTTAACGCGGGTGAAACCGGGGAGGAAGTAAAACATAAGAAAGGTTACCTGTATTTTTCTATTTCATATGGTTATATCCACTCTTATACCCTTATTATATCGACTCTATTTTCTAACAATTTATGCTACAAATCTGTGATAAAGCTTATCCACTATACTGATTTTTTTAAAACTTTAAGTCAACGGAAACTGCGAACGTTTCTTTGTGAAAATAGAAATCAAAGGCACGGCTTTTTATCTACATCCTTTGAACAGAGAACTTAAGCCGGATTTCTACTTAGACTTTAGAAGCCCCGGTGGTGTAAAATACTTATAATATAACTTTTTATTTCCTATTGAAGTACATCTGTTTCTGTATATTGACGTGATGTAACTAAGTAGATCCTCAAACCTATTACCAGTTAATAAATACAACTTGTATAGTTTATAAGAGATTATATATGTAATGTTATAAACGCGGAAGTTTGTGAGTGAAGAAAGATGAATGTATTATATTTTAACAAAACTGCACAACAATATAGTTAATACATTAGAATAAGAAATAGTCTAGAAATTTCGGGTGAAAACTCGGAGACAGCTAGTAACTATATAATCACTAAACTAATAATTTTGACATGCTTTAAATATAGCGTAGCATGTTCTCAAATTATCAGCTACAGTAAATACTACAGTATTATTAAGGTCCATCATCATTGTGACATGTTGAAAAGTTTATCACCACCGTGGTCTAATAATTTTCTGCTCTTTCTGACTTAGATAAACCCTTGTGAGTCCGAATGTGACCGACACCAAAAATACTTTGTGTCGAAATTTGGGTATGATACTTCTAATTTCAAATGAATAAAAAAAAAAAGAAATAGGTTCCTAAGTGACCTCGTTCACTACCACGTCGACAGTTGATAGTTGGTAAGTCGTGGAGGTACATTTTTAATAAATTTCATATTCCAAAACTATATTATATGCTTTAACACTCAGTAAGAACCACTCTTTTCGTCGTTGAAAACTTTCAAGTGGTCAGCCAGTTATGTCGCATCTAGGCGACGGACTTTATAACAGATTTGAAGGCAACAGAGGGGGACAAGTTAGCAAAGCGGTTTAGTTCGACCGACCATTCAAAGTTTAAGAGGATTTTAGTACAAAACTGAGTCTTCAGCTATAATACGTATACTATTTGAAATTACATTCGGAAACACTTTGAATTCGCTTCGCCTTCTTGGAATAATATTTTATTAAGACTACGGAGTGAAAATACTTTTTTTTTTAAATGAGTTCCAAAATGTAGGAATTACAAAAACTACAATATAATAACATTAATATTTATACAGTTAGAATTTGTACAAAGTTGTTTGGGCACCTCTATCTTACCTATTTCAGCAGCTTATTTTGTGACGCAAATCTAGTTCTTGAAGGGTGAGATATGGCAGTGAAATTACAGAGGAATCAGACATGAGATACCTCGTGTCTTAGTCGCCTGTATCCATGGGCGTTATCATGTTTGCTATTCTAATTACATAACAATAATATGTGATTTTGATTTCTAATTACATTTTTGTTTTATAATATACTATATACTCGCCCCGGTTTCTCTTGGGTGTACATGTATAATACATATAAACCTTCCTCTTGAATCATTCTATGTATTAAAAAAACCGCGTCAAAATCCGTTGCGTAGTTTTAAAGATTTAAGCATACATAGGGATGGACAAAAAGCGACAATGATTTTTGTTTTATACTATGTAATAATAATATTTTTTTTATTAAATTCAACTAATGCTCTTTAGATTCCGTTATACTGGTTATTAATTTAACCTTTCTAAATTATGACGCATCTCTGTGTCTATTAATATATATATTTATTTATGAAGTCCTATAATACTACGAGATCACTACCTATGAATTAGCATTCATATTTAATATTATAAATTTGAGCATGTATCTGATTGAGCGGTATTTACCAGTTAAAAAATAATCGGATCATAATTAATATTATACTTATAATAATAGTAGCCTTTATTTATCTCAAAAAATACACTGGATAGAGGCGATTAAAGGATGAACGTTTCTGCACACGAAGTCACGGGTATCTGCTAGACATTTCTGAGTTTAAAACTTACTCTGCTATTTGATTTTGTTATACAAATGTTAAACTTATCAAGTTTGAATCTTGTGAAATCGTCTAATTAGACAAAAGTTTCCTTGCATATAATCTGCCAGTTGTATTCACAAAAGTTGATTTCCTTACCTCTGACACCACATTTACAGTTGCTACTTAAATACTAACTTTAAATCCGTGCGATAGTTTGGTCGTTGAAAATAAGTTGCCAAACACTCAACTCTATGTCTTTATAATAAGGCTCAAAATTGCCAATATTTGCAGATTCATTTATTTCTAGTGAAGTAACAGCTACGTTTCATCTTGTTGCAAACATTAATGGAATTGCAAGACGAAAAAAGTCGTCCCCTCAAAGTATGTAGCGGTAACTCGGTATTACTCAAATAAGAAAACTTCTGTATCCGCTAAGCAATGTTGTGTTGGAAATAAACTTTAAAATATATATATTTGTACACAGTTATTTGTAAAAGGCGGATCAAGTCAAAAGGCAGGTGCTTACAAACTAAACCAATGTCACCGAAAAATATAAAGCCAATATGAAATAAAAATAAAGATTGTCGCGTATTATATGTTTAAAAGTATAAAGTATTACAAAACGTATCAAGGGATTTTAGTGACATATGGCGAAAAAATAAAGTAAAAGTAATTTCTTAAATGAGTAATGAAATAGCGGTTACAGCTAGAGGAATTTATAAGGTAGTATGTAGGAACGATTTTGTTTATAATTAATTAAAAATAACATATAGTGAAAACATTTATTCAACTTATTGAAGTTAGCTTTAATTGTAGTAGGTATAAACACAGTCGATATAATACACGCATTACTGATATACGATGCACAAGCACTTATTCTAGTATTTTTGTAAATGCTTATGGTATGTCATGTCTAATATTATAATTAATTTATATAATTAAAAAAATTGTACCATTTTTGTTAATAGTTCCATTAAACCAATAATACAAATTAATTAACAACATTATAAATAACAAAATTTTTATTTTTAAATAATTTTATATATCTTCTCTAAAATATTCTAATATTTTTTTTCACTAAACTTTTAATAACATATCTAACGTATAATTTATTTATAATAAGTTTACAAACACTAACAAAAACAGTACAATGGTTAAATTGCGACTAGTTACATTTTAAAATAATAATTACTGATAAGTTAATTAAATGTAGGCTACCTACTATTTAATATTAGGTATGCAAGTACTAAAGGTGAGTTCAATAATGTATTCTTTATAATAATAGACAAGAATATTGCGTCATATGACATATCAGACTTACTTTTTAAATTAGAATGGCACATATTATGACGTACGACACTTTAATTATTTAGTTTTCTTTATAAAGCAAAGTAGTCTGCACAGGGTTTTAAAATTGGTATCTAAATTGGATCAATGATAGGAAGAGCCCCAGATCGCTAGAAGGATATCAGCGATGTGGGGCTCCCCGTCACTAGTCCTTACCGATTTTAGGGCTAAGTATAGGCGCTTTTAGGTACCTATTCCATAATTAGCCCATGGTTGTTTATTATTTATTTGTGAAATAAGTACTTTATAGCTCAGTCGCAGATGTGAATTTGATATTGATTTTTTATTTTAGTAAGTAATATCGCGGTATTCTTTTTGTAACTAAAGATTAAATATTTAATAATAAAACTCTATATATGTAGAATATATTAAGTAGTATAATAATAGATTAAGTATAAAAAAAAAATAAGTCTTTAATCGCATTATAAGAAGCTTACAGCACTGACTTTAATTTTGTCAATTTTAAACATTCATTTAATTTAAAAATTCCTTATTTGTCTTAATTTAAATATTATACGAGATAATATTTAATATATACAATTTAAAATTAGATTTTTCTTAATAATAATCACCTAATGAAAATTGAATAGACAAAAGTTACAGTTTACACATATATCATTCTTATTGCAATCCATGTATCGTTTATGCTGAATATATGTAGGTCCATCCCATATTATGCCATAAAGTATGATTTTAAGTCGCCAATATATATCAATACCAGTATAGTAGGTAGAACTACTGTATTTGCCTGTACGATTTCGATAATATATAAACACAACAGGCTATAATTAATGTAATATTTTGTGAAATGAGACTTTTACTATACTGACCACTTCATGACTATAACTAGAAAAGCATTTTTTAAATAAGTTAAAATTAATACAATGAGAAGTATTTTTATAAATATACAACTACTTATTTTATTAATTTTTGTGTACTACACATGAAATACTTCATTTATTTCGTAGATAAAAGTGAAATTGTCATAATGAATAAATTACGAACACGGAAAATGTATCATTCGGATATCATCATAAATTCATCACCAGATAAATTTGCCATATATAACTATGAAGATATAATGTCTTCAGTGCACATATAATTATTAAAATTAAAATAATGTACTAGTAATTTAACATTATTGGATCACAATAATTTCAGTCCCGAGGAAATTACAATAGGACCACTTATGTCAATAAATCATATAAACCACAATATATTTCGTATAAATAAGGTTAATAAATCACAATCCCTTTACAGAAAATCGAAGCAAGCTATTGCGCGTACTAACAATTTCAAACACAATTTTTAGTTCCGTCATGGGTAAAAAATGTCAAGAATTAATAAATTTTTAAAGATATTACCTAAAAATACCAAAAGAAATTATATTATAATATTACAAAATTAAAGTGGATCAATGTTATTATAACAAGCTGGGTATTTTTAATGATAGCAGCTCAAAATTATACGATCGGTTTTGGTGTCCGAAACATTATTAAGATATAAAAAAAGAAAATTAAATTATATGAACTTAAAAAGAAACAATATATACTACTACGAAAAAAACAAATATTTACAATATTTATTAGCAACAGAAATAATGACAAAATGCATATCTAGATGTGACTATAAGTACTTGTTATAAGCAATATATATAATGTCTTAGTGATATACGATTGCTTAAATATACCCTTATTATAATAGGAATCTCACATGAACACCAAGCTCTACCCACTTGATTTGAATAATCTCAAACTTTCAATACAATAATACATTTCGTACCAATGCGGTGACACTCTTAACTTATTCTGTAGTGTTATTTTGGTTTATACTTTAAATCTAGCCGAATAGGTATTAGTTTTCTCTGTACGGTTGAGCAAATATTTCATTCAGTAGTTGTTGATATTCGTCGGCATTGTACATGTAATCTTCTTCGTCTAATAATCCGGTCGAGTTATATCTGAAAAAAGAAGAAATCAAGAAGATCTAGTAAATTTATTCATGGCGTCGTCTAATCATGTTGAACATTTTCACAAAATTATATAATTAATAAATCTTGCTAACTTCTCTTAGCTTATATTTTGTCACATAGGTACATATTTAGTAATATATTCTATGAAAATTTCATTATTATATTATATATGTGTGCAAAGAGAATGAATACAAAAGAAAATAAACTTTGATATTGTAAGTTAGAGGTAAAGATTATTTTGAAATACTGTTCTACAAAAAGTAAAAATATAATCATCTTGGTAAAATGAATATAAATACCTTCTTGTTTCTCTTTTACTTCTTTTGCTTGCATTTGAAGTAGCTTCCACACAAAGCACAACAAAGTGATTGTTGCAGGAATGTCTGTAAAATATGATACATATATGTAAAGTATATACAGTTCAACAATAAATAATAAGCTGAAAATATTATATTATTTTAGAAAAGACTAACCGTATTCATTCATTATTATGAGAATTTTTATATTTTGGTATCATCAAATAATATTTTTATGAGCCGTTATAAAAATCCTATTTTGAAAACCATTCAGTCTCAGTATTTCATTATCATTGTCCATGGCCCACATCACTACACTAGTAAGTTCTGAATAAGTAATTTGTAGTGAATTCGAGTTTCTCGCAATTCGGAACCTAACTCGTAAAAGTGTTTATAGCGTACATTACATAGTCAAAATATATATACATTATGTAGTCAAAACAGTTGATAATTTAATATCATACAAATATATGTCCTTATTTAATACCCAATTATTATTCTGGCGTAGTTGTTAAATAGCCTAGTCAGTGTACAATATATGCGAGTTATATACATATTTCTTTAAAATAACATATATCAATAAAAAAATAGTGCTGTCTACTTGTCATGTTCTTTCTTGCCGACTTGACAAATACTGCAAATTGGTACGATACGGAACGACCGAGATAGATCTGTCAGTCAATAAAAAAACTCGTTAGTCGTCCAATAAAATCTACCTAGTTTAGTTTTTATCATCAGAAGTGGAGGAATAGTATATCAGAGATAAGCTAGTGGGAATGATCCATAATTTCTAGGAAATATCAATAATCACGAAGATTAAAAATTTCAAACACGAACGATCGGATTTGTCAACGGATATGTTGGTCAGCAGTCCGTAATATAAAGAGAATTTAGTCGGACCAGTCGTGCGCTAAGTCGTGTCATTGAACGAACAAAACTGTTCCTAGGATATTTAAATGGCTCGTAGAACTTACCTCTCCTGTGAGAGTAGTTTATGAGAATATAAAGAGGCGGCCATGCCTCTGCTGGTAGGTTCACTACTCTGCCATTCGTCGCAGAATGCATCGAATGCTCTTTCTCCGCTAGCATGTGCGCCATGCCATATAATTTTCTGGGGCCTGTTATATATAATTGGTAAGTTATATTACTTAAATTTAATTAGAGTTAGGCTGTAAAAATCAACTGCGGGGGGTCCTCAGTCTCACTTACTTCAGCCGCCAAATAGCTTGCTTTGTAATATCGGTTTTGGTTGTAGGACAGGGCAGGGCATTAGGCAGTGTAATTAAAGGATAAGAAGCATAACATCTAAGTTCTCTAGAATAGGAACCGCTTATTATCGGGTGGCCCATGAGGTTGTTTGCCATACGAAATGCTATTTTATGTAAATAACATTGTATGTATGACTTCAGTTATACGTATATGAAAAGTTGTTACTTTCTTTTGAGTTTCTTTAGTTTTAATGGACTTTGTATCTTTAGTTTTAATGGATTTTTTACTCTGTGTATCGTATTTTATGATATGATTTATTGTGATTTAAACCTTTCATGTCTCGTAAGCAAATTTGCATGAACTGTTTGTTGAAAAATACAGTAGAATAATATTTTATGCGCTTTTCTTACCAATGTGTATCAGTCATGATATTTTTTCCACTAAAGCTGAATATTCTAGGCGTTCCGACCATCACACCACCATTTCCATCAAATATTTCAGAGAAGGACTTAAATAGAACTTCTCCTTGGTTATTCATGACAGGCAACTCTCTGTCTGAGTAGCGCACTATCGAGTCTAGATTTTGTATTCTGAAACAAAATAAAATTATAAAATTTTCAGGCAAGTAGTTTAATAATACCAGGCCAGTTTAATAATACTAGTTTAATAATGAATGCATTTTATAACTAAACGGATTGAAATAAAAAAATCAATAGTAAGTTTTAAAAGTTTCCCTTAGAGAAAAACAATAAGTAACTAGTATATATTATTTGTAATTTGGAAAATATAGTTTTAGTTGAATCAAATTTTGGAGAGCGCCGTGATCAATTGGTTTATTATTGACTACTACTACAGTAATAAACCAATTGTTACAGTGAGTACAGTAATAAAACTCTCCTGTAAAGGATACAACGATAACAAACAAATTTAGAAAGACGGTAGTAGGTTAACCCTGTCGCCTTGAATTCGAGTAGTTATGAGTAGCTAATCGTGGGCATGTCAATTACTGTGGTCACTACGACAATCAACAATGCCTCTGATGAATCCATCTGGGATAATAGTCAAGACGGGGTTTTTATATGTATGTAAGCTATATTTGTAAGTGGCATTGGTTTCCTTTCTTTTCTAACTATAGAAGTCTTGGCTCAGTAATATTGATTCTTGGGAAGTATTTAATATAAAAGCGCTGCCCTATATAAGTAATAATAGAATCAGCTTTGTACAACTCGCCGATAAAAATATTAAACAACAGGAAAGAAAATCACACTATGATTCCTCAAAAGGGACGTTTTTAGGTTAGGAGGTCATAATATAATAATAGAAAATAAAGTCATAATAATACTGACCTGTTTGTAATAAATGCTCTAAAAGTGCCACGCAACCCGGCTCTCCTCGCTTGTCTATAGCACGCGTAATCAACTCGTCGCAGACCACCGTGCATATTGCCTGGCATTGGGTCGTTGAGAGCTACGAGTCGAATCTGTCATAATATTAACATAATAATAATATATTTTTTTATAATATCTTAGGACAATTTGTACAGCGCCAATATTAATGCGCCAAACAATAGGAATTGTGCCTGTGACCATAGGAAGTAAGGTGGTATGCTAAATCGCTAGACAAAGTAATCTGAATATATTAAATTGCTGATATGTAGTATGTTAAGTGGAAGTATACAAAAACGAAGTATACAAAGTATACAACAAGTTAAATATAAAAGGAAAAAAAACGTAACAAAAACCTTGACACAAATAAAGTAAATACCCATTAGAGAGCCTAAGATCCCTACCGTAGCTAACAAAAAGCAGATGATCATAAAACGCCTGAATAGATATTTATAAATTGTAGCTATGAAATATTTATTGAGCTATAATGCCATAACCTGATACATATACATGTTAAATCTATTACACAGCTCTTTCTGCATCCGGGGCTTCAAAATATGGAAATCCTATAGTTTGACCTATTACGATCACATATATCGTGTAGCAGTGCGAAGGAGCACTAAACAATATTCTGTACCGCCTTTTGGGCAAGAGATGAGTTATAAATGTTGATGAAGCATGAATTAAGTGTGAGAATTGAAGATAGCTCTTGTCTATCCCGCAAAGGATCTCCTAAGTATTGTATTTATATACCTTCTGAAATTAAATAACTTAATAATAATAAAAAAGTATAAACTTACGTTAGGTCCTGTGTAGGATATGGAGTTCTCTACTGAATTAGGCATGGCCTGCACGTGTACTAAACTTGCAGCAGGCAAGGGGAATTTGGCTGGTGGTGTAGTCGGAGCTACAGGTACTGATGGGGGTGGGGAATGAGTCACTAATGAACCCAGCTGTAAGAAAACATTTTAAGATTCAGTATTTTAATAGTATAATAAAAGAATTTCATTCTTACTTTTCATTAATAAAAACATCAATCTAAATATCATTTTACTTAACTGTTCTGTACTGTTAGAAAATAGTTCAAAAGAAATGAAAATTTTGTAGCTAAAATGATTTCACAAGTGCTTTGACGTTATTAAGATAAAAATACTTTTTATATTTTAAATGTAGTATTTTCTTAAACTCACCAAAACGTATTGCCATCCAGAATTCACTTTAACAAATAACGCTTGTTCCTCTACAACATAAGCCAGCGCTCCAACTGGACTAGAAGCCGCTAACTATAAAAAATAAATTTCAGTTAATTTTTCCATACTACAGATAATTGCATTACTTATTCTGCAATCTGCAACTTCAGTTCTTCCGGATATGATGATTTGATGAATTATTTTCCGAACTGGACTTAAAATAAAAGATTGAGAAACAGATCACGCAGATGACTTTTCACAAACTCTACTTCAGGTTTTCTGGTGTTCGTTATGTAAGTCATTAATATATTTATCATTGCTATGTGCCAAAATACTTGTACTTGCCTTCATCATTTCTTCCGTTGTTTGGAATACAGCAGCACCAGGTATTGTTTTATCATTTTTCGTCTCCTCAGCATGATTGGGCTGCGATCCAACAGGAGTCGAGAATGCCACTAAAATTATAATTTTTCAATGAGAAAATATAATGTACACAACGAAAGCACTAAGGCACTGTTCGTGTAATTAACATAGTAAACTTAAATGTTAGTGTTATATACTTACTGCCTCTACTTCTATCCATGTCTCTAAGAGCTTTGAGTTCATCTATAGGGCTCTTTGGGACTAGAGTCCGGCAGCGTGAAAAAATATTGTTTTATTAAAATCTATTTCATTACATTACATAAAATTGTCTAATGCTATTTTTTCTTCGAGATAGCTTTTGCAATTTTATATTATACTTACGGCCCACTGTCATAATGTACATACTGACTTGATTTTATGCTTATCCTATTATCCACTAGCGCCCCGTCAGTGTACTTCATTAGTACCGGAGGCTGCACCATTCCATACAAAGACAAATATTTCTAACAGGTAAAACCGTTAAAAAAATATTTGTTTATACAGTTTGCAGCGGCACAAATATACGTTCTTTTATTTTTGGAACTAGTGAGCTATACATATTGAAATTTATTATTTAACAGATTTTTTTTATTGTTATAAATGTAATAATAATTACATATATTGTAAGCGGGCATTCAAATTTATTCAAGCGACGTTACCATATTAGATACTATCAAATGAGGGCATTTCTTCCCTTCGACTCACGCAATAAAGTTCAATTGGTGGAAGAAATCTAACGCTATGGATCTAAAAAAATTATGGACGTTATCTGAAAGACCCGCTAGTGGCTGGTACATACGGTCGATCATTTTCTATATATAAATAACATGGGCACCACGTGTAATTTAATGTCATTCCACAGAACTAAGATGTGTTTCTTCCATATCCCATAATTTCACTGCCATATCACAATTCAGATCTAAACACACTTTACAAAGCAAATACTTTATGACTTTGTACGAAAGTTGTCTCATTAAATATAGTTAAAATTATTATTTGGAACCATATGGAATAAACAGTAACTACTAAAATGGGACTATCACAGCAAGGTCTTAAATATGCTTTCAAAATATATACCAAAATTACTCACCTGGTCTGCCATAAAATTTGGTATTTCCATGAACAGGATGTTCATCGTAATAGCTCAGGCCAGGTTCTCCCTTAGGTCCTACAATAGACACACCCGGTACTCCCGCGGGACCTGGAGGACCGGGCGGTCCAGGTGGTCCCGGAATATACCGAATTGGTTCAACCACAGCTCCTGGTGGTCCAGGTGGCCCTGGTGGACCTTCGTCGCCAGTTTGCCCTGGCAATCCATCGAGCCCGGGTTCTCCTTTTTCACCTTTGAACTGTAAAAATTTAAAGATTGTAGAAAGCCTATTGAACTCACAAAATTTTTCGTGCCTAAATCCTGGAACTGAACGGGGTGCAGGTTGTGGCGTAGTTTTGAGTAAAAAAAATAGTAGGAAAAAGTACAAAGTACTATATAAAGTTAATAATAACGATATTAAACAAATGCCTCATAGGGCTAGTGGGGGAGAACAAGATTTTAAGTACGACTCGCAGATTACCCACTGGTTTATAGTGACACCTTCAGTTTATCATAAACTTAATAAACATTTTTCAATATTCTTATTTCTTTATGTTCTTTATCTCAAGAAATATGTGAAAAAACTAGTGTTGCTCCTTTGAATAGATATTATTCATATTACATTTCACATTCGGTGATTAAAGATAAAACTAATGCAATAAAAAATATCGTAGTCGAAGTGAAAATTATTTATATGTCTTAAGCATAGTTAGTTTTTAAATTCAGAAGTTAGTTTATAAATTTACAAGAACTGGCATAAAACAGTTTTTTTATTCAGATGGAATTGTGATGAAAGCCGAAGACAGCCTGATCAAATATCCTTCTGTCGTTTTACCAAACGACAGATGGATATTTGATTAGTTAGTAATAAACAATGAATAGTTAATTACCATAGACACATCCAGGATATTGACTCCAGGGTCGCCCTTCTCTCCCTTCGGCCCTGTTGGACCGGTTACTCCTGGAGGTCCGAACATACCCGGTTTGCCCTTTTATAGGAAACAATAAACATATTAACTTTATTCTATATATATACTATACTAGCTACACTCGACTGGTTTTCGATACGCAAATTCATTATACCTATATATACCCAAGAACAAATTCTCAAAAAGAAAGAAGAAGAAATCAACGGACGAAAACATGACATGAAGTAATAAATATTACATAACAATAATGATCGAATACTTTGTGTTATTGAAATTGCATTAGTAGCAATAGTAGTAATTAATGGTATTATTAGATTCATATATGGATAATTTTACAATAAAGTACTAACCTTAGTATTCTCCAAAGTAAGCAAAAAAATAAAACAGTGTCAGTCAATTACATACATATTTTATTAAAAAAAAAATATATATAACGTTTATTTAAAAAAATGTAATACGTCTGCGATAGAATATTTTCACAGATACTATATAGCTTCTGTCAATAAACCAAAATAGATAGATATCACATATAAAATACACGTATAATAATTATTGTATATACATATTACATTTTGCATCTCGAGGAGCAAAACAATTTAATACAAAATAGATATCGTTGCTTAAAATCAAACGCCTGGTAGAAATCGACACAAAAAAAGTAAATATAAATAATTAAACCAAGATAACTCTTATATACACCTTTATATTATGACTTATAACATAAATACAAATATTTATATAATATGGGAATCAAACCCGCTAATCCGCTATGTTTTCAACAAGTACCACCGAGGTCATCAATGATAAAAGACATACGTAATTATGTATTATAAATTACTGTAATATTTAACTTACTACTATTCCCGGTATGCCAATATCTCCAGGTCGTCCTGGTGGTCCAGGTACACCTTGTAATCCTTGTAAACCACGCGGTCCTGCTGGCCCAGGCCGTCCTCGGCGTCCTCGAAGACCAGCGTCTCCCTTGTCACCCTTTAAGTCAAATTACGTTGTAAGTATCTAATATTACTAATTATATTCTTCCCTGTTCCTGTAGTATAGAGCCAATGCTTGTAGTTAATAGAGGTTGAGAGAATTTTCAAAAATCAATCAGACTACATGTTGAATACTAAACAAAAATAATTATTAAAACTTCTTTAATATTTTCTTTCATAATTTTTAAATAGAGCTGTGTGTCAAGATTATGATTGTCTTTTGTTTCTACTCCTCTGCAATATTTGTTACACCGCTAATTATATCGAAATTATTATACATTATATAATTATAATTTTATTTACGCCGTTAAGATTCACACACTATAAACAAACATACGAAAAATTAAAATTACATACTTTAAACATTTTTCCGTGGCTAAAGATCTGTTACTTACATTGCAGGAATTTTATAATAAGAGACGAAAAAAAAGTAATTTTTAAAGACTAAGAACATCATCATCATGTAACTTTTTAAAACCAAATATTCATAATACAAAAAATATTAGTTTACCATATATATTTTAACTAATAATTATTTAAAAAATGCATTAAAGTAAGTACTATTAATTTATTACTAATAGCCTATCAATTATTTACATTTAAAGATGAATGTAGTGCGCATTAAGGAAATAGTTTTCGAATTGTGTGGTAGGAATAATAAGCAAGAAAGACTAGGAACTGCATTATATATGTTCTATAATGTTGAAAAAACAATACCTTTATAGTAAGGATGTCTGATGCAGAGGAAGTAACACTAATAGGTCCTGGCGGTCCACGCTCTCCTCTTTCTCCTTTTAAACCTGGGGATCCTGGAGGGCCGGATACCCCTGGCATGCCTGATGGTCCAATATCTCCTCTTTCACCAGATACACCGTCTTTCCCGGGGATACCCGGAGTACCATCACTTCCTCGACTACCTTTTTCACCCTATATAAAGACGATAATATTGAATAGAACGTTAATTCTTGAGAAAATTGACACTGAAAGATTTACCTATCATTAATTAAAGTTAATAAAGACGAGAATCAGTATCTCATTATCAAAGAATATAATTACCTAGCCTTTGCAGAGTTGTAGGAATAATATCTTTTATATATTAATAAATAACTAAGTTTATTTGACTTAATGTAAATAATAGTTGCCTAATCACAAAAATTTATGTCAGAATTTAGAATTTACGTGTATATTATTATGTGAACGACTATATGTGTATGTGTATACGTGTTTTTGTATAGAGTATTCATAAGAACCTTGGCCTTGAATTCTAATAATAGATATTTACGTACCTTTTCACCAGGATCGCCTTTTGCTCCCGCTATTCCCGCACGACCTAAAAAGAGTATGTTTCTCATAGTCACTTTGTAAGGTTCTTTTTTAAGTTAATTAAAAATACATTTCCATATTCAAAGAACTTAATTTTACTTTTTTATGTATTAATAAGTATATCTATTGCAATCAACATGTGAAGAAATTATACGAAAACAACAAAGTTTTTCACAAAACTTTATTTTTAAACCGTTACATGATTTATCGTATAAAAAGAACTTTTTCATAGTCAGTCATTTTTTATTCTTACCAGTTGTTAGAAATTCGGGATCCTCTGAGCTGAATAGACTAGATGGAATTGCTGAGCCGGGCGGGCCGGGTAAGCCACGTTCTCCTATTAAGAAAATATTATTTATTTAATATTTATTATTTGATAGTCCTTTCAGTAATTGCCATGAGGTACAATAATATAAATACCTAATTTAAAAAACTTAGAAACGAATAAATCCTATACTTTGAAAACTGGCTTACATAAATTATAGTCTTTGAAACAGTAATAAAATTGAAAGTAAAGTATTTAAAGTAGGGTTTGTTATTTATTCATAATTCATGTAGGCGGGTCTAACAGTATGTTATTCTATTAAGCAAAGTTGTTTCATGGTACTGTGCGTAACTGATCAGTATTTTCACTTTGTATTCGTAAAATGGAGCGAAAGCCTGAATTTTTATCAATTTCATTGTTTATTTGGGATTGGTTGTAACATTGAATATTCTGAATTGACTTAGAATATAGTGTATCTTATTTATTAATTGTGATTGTAAGACCAAAATTAAAAAAACTTAGCGCGATAAAGTTCATCAAATACCTTACTATACTCTGCCTTAATTAAGTAATTGTATAACTTTTTTATAATATTTTATTGTTCTTTGTTTGTCTGTGGGGAATAAAGAGTTATTATTATTATTAATATTTAAACATTACAAATATAGTTGGATAATTAGATTATCTTTTATCATTTTAAATTATAAATATATCAATAATATTTTATTGAGAAACTAAAAGTATTTGCCTAAGTATACTTGTACAATCAGAAAGTCTAGTCTTAATCTTATTACGTCAATTACAATAAGTTTCAATAATGGAATAACAGTACCTTTTTCGCCTTTCTCTGCAGGGCGGCCATTAGCACCCGGTATTCCCGGACGACCATCGAATCCAGGATTTCCTGTTTCTCCTTTTGGTCCAATATCACCACGCGGTCCAGCATGACCCTATTAAATTATTTAAGGATCAGTTATAATATTTACTATCTTTTACGACTACTAATAAGTAGTATTCTGTATTTACTAGTGTACATTATTATATTATCATTATCCTAGCATTTTAAGCATTATCCTATACGAGTAGTAACTCGTATAGGATAATGCTTTTTAGAATTTCTTTAATTTTTTACATTACCTTTTACATTTACTACCATTCTTAAGAACTAAAATATTATTTATGTTTATTACTTTCGATATTATTTGATCTGATTATTATTGATACTAAAAAATAATATGTATATGAAATTTCTATGATGATAATTTTATAAGTTATGAAGCCAATCATATTTATATCAGCCTTAATTGTGAATTAAAAATAATCAACTAACCCGTTCTCCCTTATGTCCTAATAATCCTGGCTGTCCTCTCTCTCCTTTTTGCCCTGGAAAGCCTCTCTCTCCTTGAGGTCCAATTGGTCCAGGTTGGCCTACATCTCCTTTTGGTCCTGGTGGCCCAGTTCTACCCAAGTCACCACCATACGACCCCACAAGGGACTCCTTGAGAAAAGAAAAATAAATTATGCACATTAAAGCATATTTCTAAAACTTAAGCATATAATAAAACAAATTATTGGTTTTACAGTCTGTGTCGCGTATAGCAAGCAGCAACAAAACGCAACAGCAAAGGAGCGTTCTGATTGGAGTGCACATCCATCCTTTTGAAGTCTGTATGTTGTGCAACGAACAACGTATAGACTTTCAAACTGAAATCGATCGAGGCAACGTGCCATTTGTTCACTCATCTTAATTTGTAATTCATACTATATTTACCAATTAAATTCAAGATAGTAAGCAAATTTCATAATTTCTACAACCCTGTAACCTAGTGAAGCCATCAGCACGTACCAGGCTTAAATATTTGGGATCAAATGGATTAACTTAAGCAGCATTTCTATAGTCGTAATATTTTTTTACTAACTTAGAAACTTCTCGAATTTGACCACGTTTATGTATTCGTTTTGATAGTATTGATGATAATTTTTATATACAATTAAAAGTGATGAAGTAGTTTTTTTACTTTGATCGTATTTTTTTAATTACTTATTTAGTATGTACTTAATGTAGTAATAAAAAAAATGTATAAATGTATAAACATTCAAAGTAAATATTTCATAAAAGAATATCTCGTAAATATCCTTCACAAATTGAAGACAACCCAACTTTATAGAGTGTAGATGTGACAAAATTCAAATTATTTCCACACAATACACACGAACTTTCTTCGTCGACATTTCAAATAAATTCCCTTATCTGTTCTGTCGTAGATATAAATCAAGGGTGAGCAGCCATTTTCACACTTTTCCTAAAGTTGTTCGAGAGCTGTTTGTTCAGTGAAGGCACAATCGTTGCCTCCAAAAAGCCATTCGTTTCAGTTGCAAACAAAGTGACTTGACAATGAAAAGATAATCGAGAACTGAAGATCGTTTTGGTATTGACAGTGTAAGTAATGACTAGGAGTTTTTAGCGCCTTTACTATAAACTTTACTATATCCTAGTTGAAAATATAGATGAATGATACGAGGTTGACTAGAAGAGATTGCTTAGCGATACGACCGCCTTTTATATAGGTTCATGTAAATTGGTTATTTTTATTGTTTTATATATGTGGTTAATATTTTAGACAGAATTAATTTATTGTTACATTTTCTTACCTTATATATTTGTCTAGGTTTCCAGTTAGACTAAATAAACGGAAAGGAAAATTATAATATGTGAATATAAAATAGATTGTTAGGGCTATTATAAATAGTAAAATGAAGCGTCTCCTAAAAAAAGGAGTTAGAAACTATACTACGTTATTTGTTCACCAAGAACAGTTGTTTTTTTGAATTAGTTGTTGTGTGCTTTGAGCACCAAAATTACATAATTATTAATATTTTATTTTTGTCTATCTAAACCTTTATTATTATATTACGTAAAAATAGTCAAATACACTGAAACAAATAAATATCGAATTGCTTATTTGCATATGCAAGTGTTGCAACTTTGTTAAGATTAAAATCTTTAGATCAAAGAAATTCATAGAAGTAACAATAAGTAATGATTTATAAATGAAAGCAGTACAGGAAATTTATTAAATCTAAAATTTTATGTATGTTTATTTATTGATATTCCATGTTAATTTATTTACTAGTAAGATTATATTTGTTTAAGCTAATTGACTACCAACGAACTTTAAATAGAAAAAATGATTGTGAATAATTTTCAATATTAGAGACATATAATATTGGGACAAAAGTAAATAAAAATATGTAAAAGTTAATTTAAAATAATTAGCTATTACACTTACGTCGAAATTGTTATACTCGGACGATCCTGGAGGACCAGGTGGTCCTGGCGGTCCTGGACTTCCGGTCCTTCCATCTACTCCAGCCTCTCCTTTTGATCCTGCTGGGCCTTCTGGTCCTCTGGGTCCGATGTCTCCACGTTCCCCCTTCTCGCCGCTAGGGCCGATCGGTCCACGTTCTCCTTGTTTACCTGGTTGACCCTGTAGGTACGAAATTTAGTACTACAAGGTAAGTCAGAATATTATTTCTATCAAACATAAATACAGCCCCAAAATATAACACACACTAAGTCGTTGATCATTGTAATTTAAATTTGATAATAAATTTCAATATAGTATCAAATTTAAATATATATTATAAATATTATATATTATAAATTGTTTCTGAGTTATATAGCAGGAAGATAAAATTTCAAGAGTTCCAAGAAAACTTAGGGAAATTATATGTAAAAAGAATCTTATAATTAAAAATAAAACAAAGTAATTGTTTTCAGTGATAATTAAATTTTAGACATAGATATATTTAAGGCAATTTTTTCATATTAAATTAATTACAATATTGGACCTATCAATAGAATTGCTACAATGTCTTTCGCTCGTAAATTTTAATGTCATGATAAAAGTCATATAATCAGTTAATTGTTTTACTTTATTCGTAAAAATTACTTATACCTAATGAGAGATATAACTAAGTTTTTTTAATAAAATATTAATATAAGTTATTTATTTCAATAATAAAAACAAACATTTATGAGCAAACTTACAGTGATACCAGGCTCTCCCGTTCTTCCATCAGCCCCGATTGTGCCCGGTGGTCCTGGCGGACCTTGTAGCTCAGGTGCAGTTTGCAGAAGTGACAAAATTGTGCTAGAATTGCACCCACACTGTGCAAAAGACGAGTAGTTCTCTCCAAATACTTGCTGTGAAGAAAAAGTTTGTATTTAATAAATTTTTACATCTCTTTAATTTAATTTGTTGAGAACCACCTAAGCTGGCGATTTCGTATATATATTTTTAAAGCAATTAAATTTAACATACATTAAATTTTAAAGTGAAGCTTACAACAATACATTAATAAAAACCTCACCCAAATTGGTTAAGCTGTTTCTGAGATTGCGATTGAGAATGCACAGGCAGTCAATATTTCGAAAAACCATTATTTTGGGTTTTATCACGTTAATAAAGTCCCCCGATCAGTTTTTGTAATATAATATATTTTTCATGTATAGATAGAGATCCGTTATTGTTTTGTTATATGTATTGATCGCCACATAAAGGGTCAAAGAATATAAATACGCCATAAAGTGCACATGTGTATGTATGTTCCATAATATAAAGATTTATTTCATTAGTAATACTAGTGCAATGTAAAAGTAGTTACGTAGGAATCTTCTAGAACTTAAATGAGTCTATTAAGCATTAGAAAATAACTGAAGAATATCTGAAGAAATACCAACCTTCACCATGGTCTTCTATTCAAATTCCAGGAAGCAACAAAATAATGAGTAACGTTAAATATTACAGTAACCAAAATTAAATGAGATCTTATAAATATTTTGAAGTAAATGTTTTTGGTCACTATTCACTAACAGTAAAGTCGATTATTACTCAAAATACAATATTGTTTTCCATAATATCATAATAGGAGTATTTCCGGGAAATCATTGAGCTGTTTCCCGATAAACATTTCAAAATAGACTGACGTAATCGGAATAGGGGTAATTGTTTTCATCCTGTTTTGCAAAAACTTATTTATAATTGGTTCATTATTTTACATATTATTTACCGTGACTGATTTCTTGTTCTTTTTTTGGCTCTTTCACGATTTCAATTTCTCTCGATATTTATCACAGTAAATATCTTGTTATATAAGTACCATTTAAAATTGTAAACAACCATTAAGAAAGTTATAACAGTATTTTATTACTGTTTACAAAATTGAATTTATATTCGCTTTAGTCATAATTATTATATTGCTATTTGCTATTCACTTTTATTATCTATTTTTTTTTCATTTATTTTTGCATTTCCCTGTATGGATTGTATTCTTGCCACAATTCACCTGGGTATTTGTAATAGATTTTTATATTTTTTTATTAAATACTAGCGCTCCGTTCCGGCTTTGTCCGGGCGGACATTTCCGCATTGCATGTAAACCACTTTTGGCCAGGAATCTCTAATTTTTCTAACAATAAATGTAGCCTATATTACTCAAGTTAACGTAGTATTTTAAAAGTTTGATAGAATTTTTGAAATCGGTCTAGTAGATTTTAGTGCTTTTAAAAACACACAATCTTTTATTTTTATAATATGGGTGTAGATGATTTTCGACTTTATAATATATTTGTCAAGACGATAATAGTATATAATATTTCTGAAACAAAATTTTAGATTATTAAAACAATGTGTAGGTAGTTGTTACAAAATAAGTTTATCAATTATGTCAAAATTCCTATCATACTTTCACTATTCTTGTATCTCGTAATAATTGGAATTTAATAATAATTTATTTAAAAAATATTAATTAGCTAGAAATTCTTTATTAAATCTCCTATTATTTTAGTTTCTAACACAAAATATGTTAGGCACTTTTAATCACCTGGATGACTTGTTAATTGTGACGCCTTTTTTTAAGTTACAGAAATATTTGTCTTGTCTATTTAGCAAATTTTTATTACATTATTTCTGTAAATTATGTTTAAAATTATATATTTATCTAAGCTGTACTTTCATATTTTTAACTTCTATATTTGTATATAGACGAATATTATAAAGAGGTAAAGTTTGTGAGTTTCTAACAAGTAACAGCAGGATAGTGTAACAAAGACTAAAGTGTTTGCACAGTATTACAGCTGACTGTACCAATAAAATACAATTGACACAAGAACTATTGGCAAATTTGATTACTTAACACGACTAACCCGTGGAATGTACACAAAAACCTCCCAGGGAGCAAATCAAGTGAATCGATATCGCCAAATCGGATGTTGGACGGGCGCCAAGAGCATAATAAACTTTGTTACGAGCAGTCCTTCCAATTTAGTACCCAGAGAAGACGGTGCTACGCGACCAGAAACTATCAATAGTGGTAAAGTAATAGATGCCATGAATAGTAATTATTAGAGTTAAAATTGGCAAGATGAGTGAAGCAGCAGAAGCAGAAATATAAATAATATATTAAAAATGACTAAAAGACAATACTAATACTTTAATTGCAAAATTGTATTTAGGTATTTATCTGACTATGGACATAGATAATTCATTATCTTAATAATCAGTGAAGTTTCTTGCCAATTCTTCTCAATTAAATCTCTGTACTGAATTGGACTAAAATAAAAATATTAATATAAAAAAAATTTACGTTCATAAGCGGCTAAAATGTCCTACATGATTAAATGATTTTTTATTTGACTTGAATAATCTGGAAGGGGGTAAAATATAGAATAAAAGTTTGCTCAGAAGAAATAGCGGGTATTAACTGTTTCAATAAATGTATAATTATATTTTTGAAATTATACAGAGAAGACAATTTTTACACATTTTTTGACAACATTTATATTTTTAATAAATAATACAAATATAATAAAGAGGTAACATGTAAACTTTTTATGCTTGTTTGTGATGAATAAATTAAAAAGAACTCTTGACAGTGGAATATTAAATTGTTATGATGATGCGGATATGATAAATTTTTATATAATTTTTATTTGACACCTATTTCAAGAGGGTTTCTTTAATCTATAACAACTAAATATAATAATAGAAATAGATACCAATTAATTTATCCTCCATAATTTAGAGTAATTGAATAACTGATCATACGTCAATTAAAAAATAATTTAATATGGATATATGATTACGATACCCGGGCCACGGGTAGGGACCAACCCGGGTGTGAGGTTATATCGAGGGTCAAGATTTGTGGTGGTTTTTGGTACTATCAATTTTATTATATATTACCATATATTTTGTACTTTTTATTATAAGAACTGTGTTCCATATACAGATATTTTGAAATTGGATTTGATTAAAAATAATCATCTGGGAAATAACACTGTTATAAATTTTCAAACTTATCTGAACCACGTAATAAGTGAATGTATTGTAAAAAGGCGTTTCTATGGGCTATTCAAGCTCAGATTTGATACGACTATGCACGCTGTGGGCATTCAGGCATGTTGAGATAGTATTTTGTTGTATGGTACAGTTTAAAGGAAGCGGTGAGTTGCTTATCTTTAATATATTCGCTTATAACTATATATAAGTGAATCATTACAATAGTGTGTATTAAAATTTTAAGTATTATTAATCCTAAAATTTTCTATTTAATTGGATTATGAGTAAAATAAATCTTCTGGAATTTAAACATCTATATGAATTCATTATATAATTACTCTGAGAAATGACAACGAGGTCGCCATGTTGACTTGAATACACTCAGCAAAATGTATAAATGTCATTGCAATATGTATGCAAGATGAACACATAAATAATGTACAAAAACAATAATGTTGTAGTTCTTGAATTCATAGTAAAATCATTTATATGTAATTAAAAAGTTATAATAATATCCGTTGTATGAAGTTTTTGAGTCAATAATTTAAAACGAAAAATTTATTAATATATTCTAATAATCATTAAAGAAGATTAAGATTGAATATTTTGATCTTTACAATATCTTCCCAATGTAGTTTATCATTATTTGTAATATCTATACATTCGCTTTTGACATATACCATAGTCCAGAGTTGTGTACTTACTAAGGGAGGTAGGCGATGCCCGCAGGTTAAATGAGAGTTCTGTGGTCTAGACTCTGGGACGGGGCCTTTGTGTCTCCTACTTCTTTTATGTGTTTGTGTATGTAAAGTAGTGTATTGTTTGTTTCTACCTAAGACAAACTGTACACTTAGTTGAAGCAGTACTCGTACACGGTATTAAATTGTGAAGTAGGTTGTGGAATGCAGAAATTATAGGATAAGGATTATGGCATCTTAGCTCTCCGGAATAGGGACGGATGAGTGGCATCACGGATGTCATATGGATAACATGATATAATGTATTTAAGCGACGGTTACCACTGACCATCAGCTGGGCCGTCTGCTTGTTTACTATTCCAAGTATTTAAGTTTGAAACATACGTAAATATTTATGTGTGTTTCAAATAATATACGTACTTAAATATCTACGTAGTATAAGTTATGTCATGTATCTGTTGGTATATAAACCTAGATGGGAATACCAAATGTTTGGTGTATGTTTTATAAATGTATGCTTTAATTTCTACTCTTATTCGTGGACTTAGGTTAGGTTAGGTTACTGTAAAAATGGTTTAAGAATAATGTTAACTTACCTCTCCATCACCAGAGCCGGAAAACTCAGTAATGCTGCCAGGTGTTCCAGGTACACCTGGTGGGCCTGGTGGTCCTGGGGGACCTCTAATCGATTCACCTGGTGGACCCTGTTGTAAAAATATTATTTTTGTAGTAAGTTTGCATGAAACTTGATAGGTAAAACTATCTTTCCCTATAATGCCTTTATTGCATTATCAAATACGAATTTATACATTTGTTAATAGGAATAGATTATGAAGTCAGTAATACACTCTGTATTTAGTGTAATAAATGGAATTTATCTCACTGTTGTGTTAATCTTCAATTACAACTACAGGATATTAAAGATAGAATTCTATAATAACAGTAAGCATTGATGCATATTAAATATCTGTATCTATATACTTAAATATAAATAATTAATTTAATAGATATATTTTCACATATTAATCATATATTTGGTCATGTAATACCCCCAGAGACAGTTAAAGAAGAATTGTTTATAAAATGATTGAACATACGGAATTTTTGAAATAATAAAAAAAAATTGATATCATAATTTAGAACTATATATGTTCTTCCAATACTTTAAAGCCTGACTCTTGCTTCTATAAATTAAGCACTGGAAAAAATTGTTATGTATTGGATGACTGCGAAAAAAAGGGCACGAAATATAATAATTAAAAAAATATATAATTGTATAAATGTCGAGTTTAATATAGTCGATCTCTGAACGCACTTAAATAACTATTGTAACATCCGAGTAATAAAAATAATCGCTATATAAATTGTATTATTCCACTATATTCCGCTTTGATCCTACATAAGCATTTTTATAAATACATACGTTGACGCAATACAAAATATAAAAGATTTTCGAATAAAATTGTAACATATGAAGAGCTTTCCGTAATTTGATCGAAATTGAATTACTGAGAAGTAGACACTCGGAGCTTGAAACGTAAGTGGCGTATCAGGTCAAGTGGGTTTGTATTCGCTATCAGCGGACACAGTGTTAAGTGCTGTAACGGCTGTATATCATGCGGCGAGTGGAGGGTTAGAAGTCCGTTTACAACGCCACAAGAGAAATGCTATTATGTTCTGTTTACCTACTTTTATAGACGCTTTTACATACAATTAAGATTACCTCTGTTATGTTTTGGTTACATTTGGGTTAATGATGTTGTGATTTCTGTTAAAATTAGTTTTTTTTTGGGATTGTAATGGAAAAAACGCTGATGCCTCGCCCGATGGTAGGCAGTATCTGTTGCAGTCGTCTACATGAACAGCACGTTATCATGTGACGCCTGAGACTACTTATGTGTATGGAATAGCAACTCTATGTTATGCCTCCTATCCTTGAATTTCACTACCTAATTATTGCTTGACAATCTGAACACATCTAACTAAGCAAGCTGCTTATCGGCTGAATTAGGTGAGAGTGGGATATCTAAGCAGCCGTCATTTTACAAAGTACGCAAGTGGGTAAAGTGGGTAAAGGGTAGTTACCACAAAGTAAAGGAAGTTTAATTTGAAATGAATCATGTCAATTTCACAAAATATTAATATCGGTTAAGAGTAATAGGTTTAAGAACACATATAAGAGAAATATTTTTTCTCTAAATTGAAAAATGATTGTGTTAATATATATCTATGCATATGGTAGTAGGAAAATGACTTGGCAAAATGACCTTTATCAATTCCCAGGTACATTCCGACCGAATGACGTGACAACCCTGCACGTGCTAGGGACAACGCATTAAAACCTCGTTGCGGCCTCGTCCAGTAATCGTCCCGTAGTAATTAAAAGCCCCACGGGTTAGGGCGGGGTTATTGTCGATAAATTGAATAGCGGAACAATGCATGATCGGTCTTTGTGTAAAACAGCGACTGAAAGTTATGAGTTTTGATCGCACTTTTGTTGCTCGCGATACCATTAAAATGCTATAAATGGAAGCTTTTCAATTAATCGCATTACTATTTTGGTTTATCAAATGAGGTTCAGAATTCGATTCTCGGATGCACTAATTCTATTATTAATAATAAAGATAAAAATCGTGCCGATTAAACTGGACCGGTTATGCGATCTTTTCAAATCCGCCATAATTTTTTAGTCTCGTAGCATTCGCGCCTTTAAGATGAGAAATTCCATGTAAAAATTGCGAGTTAATAAGCTGATTTTGGTTAGTGTTTATATTTTGAGAATATGTTTTCGAAATAAAGTTACTTATAATTATTATGTAGTCACAATGTAAACTGTGTTAGGTATATTTAATTTATTTCAAAATCATTTCACAAGGGTTTGTTTTTGCACTGTAATTAAATATTAAATATCTTGCCCGCGGTCCTCGTTCGCCTTTTTCGCCTCGAAGCCGCAATGGATACCCTGAAAATAATAAGAAACACACATATTTAATAAGTTTGCTTTTGTAGATTGAAAAGGTGCTTCAGGGTATAAAGTTAATTATATATATGATTACACAATAATATTTGAACAGGATTGCGTCTGTACATTGTATAGAAACCACGTAGGATTTTAAATGGAGCTTGTTGTGGCATAGTTTACGAATATTAAATACCTGTAGGTTATTAGTAAAAAAACTATAACATATTTGTCCTACTTTATAGTAGAACAAATGTAAAATACGTGAATAAAAGGTCAAAGTTATTCACTTTACTACTATGTTATTACTTATCTTATCTGTTCTATTATTATACTTGTATTATTAGATACCTACTTAGTCAAAAAGTATGGAAGAAATTAATTATATTAAACTATCATATTTTTATGTCATATGGTTTTACATTTGCAAGCATGAAATTTGATTTTTATTAAAATAACTTTAATCATTATCATATTTTAAAAAAAATGTATATAGAACAATAATCTGAATTGAACTTATGGCCAATATATTAATTTAATTCAACTGTTCTAATTTTTTGCTATTGTTTCAAATAGATTTGTGTTTTACTTCTGTATTTTGATCTGGAAATTTATAAAACGATATTATTAAAACGTGGGGCGGGAATTGGGATTAACATCCCCGCATAACGGGAAGAGTCGTGAAGGATAATGAAGACGAAGACAATATGTAATACGAAATCGAATATTGTAAAAAAAATTCTCTCTATATCTTAAAAAAAAAGTAGACCAATGCATAATACCAACGCCAATGCACAATGTGTCATAAAAAAAATTGATATTCTATATGCGGTATAAATGTTTATTTTAAATAGACTAGGCCTATATAATTTCGGCCACAACATTTCTGAATACAGTTTCCATAAATATAGGCATCACAGATTTGTCTACCGAAGTAAAATGACGTTTGTTTATGTATGACGCGTGTTAATTTTTTTATTAATAAAAATCCTCCCACGGTGTTTTTGTGAATTCAAACAATGAGGTGAGTGAACTTTTAGAATATAAGTTAACTTTGTATTCATTTGAATATCTATTTTGATTCATATATTTTAGACCAAACTATAATCCAAATTATAAAGTGTCCATGTCCATTTGATTTTGACGTCTTAAATTTAGGTTTTAATAGAACAATAACTGTAGTAGACTGATCCTTAGATATATTTGGCAGTATTGTATTGTATCTGATCACTACATTTATACTTATACTAGTTTTAAATAATGCTTTTATATTGCAGTATACATGTAGTAACGACCAGCAGGTCGCTGTATTAATTTGCTACTTTGTGAAATTAATGTGATTAAATTTCAATCTGATATATATCTCCCTATAATATTTTTTAAATTACCGTAATTTAAAGTTAATATTGTATTTCGATAAGACATGACGGTAAGGTAAGGTAATGATAAATTCTTTGCGTCGTAAAGACTCGACAATTCTTTGCGATTTATTCTATTCTTGCGTCGGCATTTCGGACGAGTGGGAGACTTCGCTGATAGAATACCCACGAACGTTAAAGAATTTAATGTCCCGATAAAACATTTCGATGACCCAACTCCGCCGTGTGTGGCCATACATTCATTGTAGATCGAAGACGAGGTATTTTCTCACGAATATCGCGATATACCTATACATATACTGTACCTACCCATTGGTCATCATATCTGAGCTTACTCTCCATTTATGCGTATCATCTTTTTATCGTCGCGGGTTCTATTCCTAGGACGGTACAAACTATTGTAGTCTTGAGTATGATTGTTTATATTGGTTTGATTGTGAGTGTTGTCTATATATATACCTATATTATGAATGTATTTAGAAAAAATGTAGCTTACTATTTCTATCTATTCTTGTGTTATGAGTATTAGAAAAGTAAAACTTATACATAAGCTCTTGGGACTAGATAGCTCTTTATGAATTGTCCTGAGATATCATATTATAAAAAAATATTCTACGTACCGTCCATTCCTGGTGGTGGGGGAGGAAAAGGCGGTATTGTACCGTAGCGGCCCGAACCCTCGTCGCCATCTTCTTGGTCCACCTATTTAAAATTTTGTAAAAAAAATAGAATAAAGTAGGTACATAAACACAGTACATTTTTATTGTATAAAATTGATGATTATTACACTTTTGCAAAGTATACGTTTTCTTCATAAAACCGCATTATGAATGCATGATTATTAATTTTGAAATAATGTACAAAATGTTCAATTGTTTTTAATTGTGTATATAGTTAAATTTCATATTAACGACAAAAAAATGATGTGTATGTATTAGAATTTTGGGTTAGTTAGGTATTATTCACAGAAAATATTGTTGCAATACATTTGCATGCATATATTCAAAGAATACTTTCAAAATATTACACTTGTTAGTTACTTTGTCATGATCATAAATATTAGTAAAAAAATTAACTTCTAACTCTTAAAAAAATCGATATTTAAACAAATATTCAACAGTGAAATATCATTAACTTATTTAACACTTCAAGATTTAGGACTTTTCAAATTTAATGAGTACGTATCTCTACCTGTAATTAGAAATGGATTTTCAGCGTAAACATCTAGTTATTTATGGCACTAACCCGAAATAATGTTCATGCTATGTTCGCATCATTTTGTTTTTACCTATTTTGGAATGGTAAAGAGCTATTAATGCTATACACTAAGACTCGAGAAAATTCAATCCGAAATATTGTTAGCAATGTTACATTTTTCAGTATAGATTTTCTGGTAGATAACATACTTAATTACTCTTCCCCATTTAGAAATATACTAGTTGTCACCCCGTGGTCGAAATTCAAATCATAATTAATTATAATTATTATGGTTATATTTGATATTCCGTAATAATATACAGAAATAATATAGTATTAAAGAGTTTGTCTTTAATACTATATTACTTCTGTATATTATTACGGGATGTCAAATATAACCATAATATAAATACTAATAAATTATTTGTACACAAATGTGAATAGGCCAGTTTCTGTTTGAACATTGATAAATGTATAAATAAGATTTTGTTACTGTATAAAATAATTATAAATAAAATGTTTACAGAATCTTTTTGGGCATTAAACACATATTAACATATAGTTCTAAGTAGACGACACAAGGGCTTCAATTTGTGAGAAAGTAAGCACTTTGCTATAAAAGCTATTTAGATTTTGTTACTATACTCTATACTTTTTTTAACATAAGTTTTGCAAAATATTATTTCAATGACAGTCAACTAGACATTAAACGCTGATTTAGAGTGAAAAATGTGCTATACAAAGTAAAATTTAGAATCATATCCCTTTAGACTACCTACAACTAGACCTCAAAGCCTACAACTGTTCATTATAGTTATTTAGTATTGATAATATGTGTATATAATGTGTGATATAATAGAAAACACGAGTTTATATTGGATATTAAAATTTCTTTTATAAAGTTTTTCGTGTACTTTTTGTAAAAACGTGCAATATACTCTTTAATGGTTACATTTTAAATTGTACAGTAAAATTGAGATAAACAACTTCGGACTTTATCTTAATGCAAAAAGGTTCGTTATCATTATCTTTTTCTGACCGTACAATTGAGCAGCAATACAAAAGTCACCGAACTTCCGGAGGGTAGAAAAATCTCAATAATTGTGTGATCATGCGAAAAGGCGTAAAATACGTGAAATTCCACTTTGTAAGTGCGAATTTTGCAAATTGTAACTTGGAATTTCCATTTTACATTTAACTCGAGTGCCTATGGGTTTTTAGGGTTCCAAAGCAAAAAGGTTTGTACGTCCGTTTTTCTCGTATGTTCTACCATTTTTTTATAAGCAGCTGTTCATAAATTCTAGAAACTACTACTGATACTAATTTGAAATTTGTAATACCGTTAGATATGCCATAGGTTAAAACAAATATAAGAAATACGCCAGAAATTCCGAAATAAAAAAAATATAAATATAAATTATAATAATTACTGTTAATAAAGACATTTAAAATATGCTAATGAGATATATGAAGATTGATGCTGTAATTTAGAAAAAGAAAGAAAATATTTGTTTATCCGTTCCTCTTGAAAAAAAATGTTAATGGGGTTTAAGATGGGGACTCAACAATATCAATTGGTCTCCCGGGAAATGTCATTTATGGTGTAACTACCACGCTTTTATGTGTCCCTAATGCGCCAGTCTTCTGTTTTGCTAAGTGGCTAAGCGGCTTGTAAGAGCTTCTAATTCGGTTTCACTTGCACTTAGTTTTATATTTAACTTTTTTGTTAAGGTACTTTTGGGTACCTGCATATTTTCTCACACATAAGACAAAAACACGCGAGGTCATGTAAATCGTAATTTTGAATAAATATTGATCACTGCTTAGAAATATGCCATAGAATACTTTTCTGAGTCTGTATTCATATTGAATATAATTTTAGATTCCCATAGGACAACTCTTTGAATCTAAGTAGTGTAAATAAATCTTCTTGAACACTTTATTTCATTTCAATCTCACTGTTCTTGATTTTCCGTTTCCAATTGTGGATCTAATTACGAACGAATTGAATTAACCCTTTACTTTTTCATAAAAAAATCCTACTTTATTGGCGTATTCTTTAATCGTAGCTTTTTGACATAAATGATACCCAAATACGTGATTGGTTAAGATACGTACTATGTAATGTTATTTTCTGAACAAGATATTTTTGGGCATTATTTTAAAAGTATTTGTCCTGTATATTTATATTGTGTCTAATTTTTTTTATTTTATTTTGATACAAACAGTCATTACAGTTATAATTACTTATAAGTAAATATATAGACAACGAATACAGTATTTGATACAAATATATTAATAAAAATGTTAGCGTTGACATAATGAGCTTAGAAATCTAGATTAAGTTTTTTATATGTGAATACATCTTTTCAAGAATTGTACTTGTCCTTTTGTTTTTATAATGGTAACACAAGATATTGTGTTTAACTGGACTCTAAAACCCTATATCCTTGTATATGTATTTATAGACATAGGTTTTTATTACGTTTCAATTACTTTTTATATTCATTGATCATATGATACAATAATAGCAAATTAAGTAGTCAGCAGTAGTATTTTTTTTTAGTATAGTAGAAAAATATATGATGTTCACACAAAATGTCCTACATGACCAAAGAAGTTTGAGTTAGGAACATTTAGTATTTAAAAACAAATTGTAATTTAAAATGTTGAAAATGTTGAATGCCATTGTCTAGGTAAGTAACTATTTAATAGTTCTATTTATGAAACACATCTCGTTTCCAATCGGCAGCTGTAAATAGTTCATATTCAATGCGTTTAAAATAACAAATTCAACTGGGCTTCAAAATCAAGCCCATGACCATTGATATCTGCATTGATTTCGTTCCATCAATTGCAACGTCATTTACCTGCAGTATTTGCAATACAAATTGTTTGCTTTGATCTCTAATATACAATGTAAACGTGACTAGTGCAGACTACCGCTGCACGAGTAAGACTGAATTTGTGGGGTATGGTTCCAGTTTGAACAGGTTTATTTAATAGGATATTAAAATTAGTAAATTACCTTGTTTTATTTTATTGAGTTCCCGATATTTTGGCAAGTAAAACGTGGTAAGATCACGTGATTTACTATTTACACGTATAAATAATGACAGCGTCAAATTTAAAATAGGATATTAAAATTTATCAATTCATATAGGTCTAAGCGGATCCGGCAGATAGACGTTGTCCTATCCTGAAAAGCAGCGGTATCTCTACCTGATTCAATTGTAATTTAAAAAAATCCAATAACCTATTGAAATACATACAGAAAAATTCATTTCAGTTGTTGGATAACAAGTAGAAAACACACGTAGAAAATTAAATAATATATGTATGTATATTAAGATATTTCGCCAATTATATGACTAACAAATACCGTACGTACATATAGTTTTCATCAATAAGAAACAAATGCGTGGAAAGTAGAGATTTCGTATAGGGAAACGCAGTGTACATTTGCCATCAGCTCAATGAAATAAGAATGTATCTATTGCAGGAATTTATTGATTGCATGTGGTTCTAATGCACATTTACAAATAAAAGAAAAGTTTTTTTTGGCAATTAATCATTCATCATTCTGCTGGATCTTTCACTTTATACTTTTACTCAATTCTTAACGGTTTTGCTTAATGTCAATAAAATTATCATCAGAATATCCTATAGGATTGTTCGTGTCCAGATGGTCAGTGAACATCCTCTGTCCCGATTGCAAACCATGACCAAAATTTGTTTGTTTTTTTTACTAGAATTGTTTGCCTTCTTAAAGCGTAAAGTTTGAAATTGGAATTCGTTGTAAAATTGTACTGGCAGTTTTTTATTATTGGAATATATTGGAAATAAGTCACTCTCGCAATGTGACCACGGGTCACTATCGATTCACAGGCATCGAGTTTGTATATAGAACATGACCGGGACTAGGAGTGTTTGCACATTATCGTTTTGTATGGACTATGGAAATCGAAGTTTGTTGTTGCCCTCGTTGACCGGAATAGCTATGATTACCTGGAAGTATTATGTCTTTTTTACAAATTACGCCGTCTATTTGCCTGTTTACTTCAAATAATTAAACTTAAAATTAATAATTGCCTTTAAATACAAACCATATAATATTTTTGTAAAAAGAAAATTGAGTTGTTCTTGGATTTTAATAATAGTAACAAAATGGGATTTGACAATTTTGGTTTACTAAAATTGGTTCATATATGAAATATTCCATCTTATATCGGACACCAAAATAAAAACAGTCTTTTAGGAACTTAATTTTTTAATGTCGGTTAAAATATGAACAATGAACGCGATATAATATACGAGGTAAAATATTTAGTATGTTTATTTTATTACTCATAATAAAAAAATCCACATGTGGTCTTTGTGGGAGTAAGGAAAACATGATCTATTATTATTTTATCTTATTACTTTTATTCGCATAACTGAAAATAACTTTTACGACTTTTTAAGGGTACTTTATTGCAGTTTAATGGGGACAGCTATGAACGTTGGCTATGAAGTTGAATAACTGTAGAATGATGCTATCTAGGTCCGTTCTAATTACTAAAATACTTATTTAGATTGATCTTGATTTAGTCATGTCTGTTGATTTCCTGAAGTGTATTCTTTTTTTTATTGCACACAAAAGAAAAATATACAATATGGTTTGTTGTTTATAATTTACTTAATAAAAAAATATAATAATGCCGTAATCAATTATTTTAAATTACTATATAACTTAAAGACCTCTTTCGTCATGAAATTGTTGAAATATAATAAACAGGTTTATTAAGCTAAATTAAATACTAATTTTACAGAACACCTAACTATTAATTTAATTAGCTTTCGTTTAAAAGTTATTTGTGTTTGTTAATATTGCGACCCAATTACACAGACATACACAAATTAATTTGATTAGTGATTGTTAATGACATCACAATGTGTTAAGAGTGTACTATCCACTCACAAAATTAGTCAATAAAATCGGGAGCGGCTATACAGTGGCAATGGTGAAATGAAGCAAGCAAACATAAATAAAAAAAATGAATCACCAAAAAATTGTCTATGTCAATCTCGTCGTCATCGTTGCCGCTGCCGATATCCTGTCAAAACGTTGAAAATTGTATATTTCTGTGGAGCAGATAATGAAGTCTTCAGTTTGCTGCCTAATAACCTAATCATTAGGGGGTTTGTCACGATGGGCTAACTTTTCTGATCTCATGCTCATCTTATCATCCTCCACTGGTGCCCCGCCAGCGAAAACCGTTAACGCACGCGGATGCACCTTTCCATTATCATCCATAAAAAAAACCTAATCATAATAATAATCCTAATATTTTACTAAAATAAAAGAAAATAATACAAAAATTACTGTTTTTATTAAATTAATGTTTTGTGCAGATTGCAAAAAAACAGTACTATGTTGTGTTACTACGTATGTTACATTATGTTCACATAATATAGAGTATTCACTATTACAAATTAACAAAGAAATAATACAAACTGCGACAGTTCATTGTGAAATATGGAGGAAAAAAAAAATTTGCTGACAATAATTGCTATTTGTTTAATTATTGGAGATGCTAAATTATCACTATAGATACGACATTAACAGACATACTCAATAGCTAAATAATTTATTTACAATGTAAGTATATTTTACAATAAAACATTACATTAAATGTTAAGTTAAAATATATAAAACCATAAATTATTTTTATTATTTTTTAGAAAATTATTTTCAATATCAATTTTAGCAGAACTGTTGAAAAATTGTTCATTTTTTAAATACAGAATACACTTTTTGTTATTGTAGTTGGTATTTTGGATAGATAAGGTACTGAACTTCGTATTAAATTTGACTGAGTAGTAGTAGAGCGACGTATTTATTATTATACTAGTATTGCGGCATTAATTTAAAAAATAACAATTAAAACGGAAACACTTTTTGGGACGATTTTTGTTCTTGATGCCCTATCAGACAATAGAACGTAAAATTACGTATATTGTTTCTTTCTGTGTACTAAAAAGTTTCGTATGAAGTTTCCAGATATAATCATAATATAATGAAACCAACTTACCTTGAAGGTGTTGACACATTGCACTTCTGCCTGAGACGGTGACTCGTATAACTTGAGCTCTTGAAATGCACCCTGTATCAAAATCAGAGTTAACACACGACACCATATCGCTTTCATATCGACCGTTCCTAGAGTGCTTTGTTATATTAGTGATAAAATTACCATAGTAATGATGTAGATTATTGTTATTTTAGTACACTTTATAATGACACTGTTTTATTCACTTTAAAAAAAATGTCTTACAGTTTAACGTTGAGAATTGCGGTTTTATTTAATTGTTTATTTTTAATAAATATATTGCAGACTTTATAAATTCAAGAAATATAACATCAATTTTACTATAACTTTCAAACTCGATTACTAAACAAATAAAATATATGTGGACTTTAATTAATTAATATTAATTAAAGTTCGCTTGCAATTTTAATCAAAATATCCAGCGAAAACGATTAAATGTAAATTTAATAATAACGAACAATATCCATTTTAGAGTTATATTAATGAAGTGATACTTAAGTAGATGATAGCTGAATAAATACTTATGTATATGAATACAAAAATGTATAAACACTCAGATCAGTCACAAATAACACGTTGAAACAACTTGTAACAAAAAATGAATTAAAACAAGAACTGGAATCCGCGCACCCGTGTCAAGCAGCGCGTGCGTTGCATTGCACTAAATTTAAAACGGGTTAAGCCAAAGGATTGCTTTATAATAGCAAATGAGATCTGTTACTATATATTATCTACATTATTTAATAGCTGAGCATGTAAATTCTGGGTCTTATATCATTAGATTAGAAAAGTTACAGAATTTACTATTCTGTTTACGTTTGTTACGTGTATAATAAATTTGATAAATAAGACTTCGAAATAAAAATATATTTAGTAAGAAAATATTTGAAGATTAATACAAATCAATTAAAGATGTTCAAGTAGTAATTAAAGAGATACTATAATATTGCTTATAGTAATTTATCTTTGTCATCACTACAGTTTATGCATTATATACAGAGACGCCTTACAAATCTAGAAAATTTCTGTACTGTACCTATACTGTATTCAGCTTTCCTGAATTATAATATGCTGAAAACTGTATTAAAATCCGTTGGATAATTTAAAAGATCTAAGCGTACAGACGACATCGTGCCATCGAAATCGATTATTTGTAATATGAAAATTAGGTGTAGTCGTGGCAGACATAAATTTGTATAAATAATAATAATAACTAGCTAACTAAGAGTACCGCATCAATAGCAAAAATAATCATCAAAATGGTCAGGTTTTGAATAAAAAATCACTTGACTAAACATACGTACGATTTATAAAATGAAAAGAATAGAACCGATTATATTTGTCTTTTTAAAGCAGTTTTAATATTTAATACTTAATACGTAAAAAAATACCTTATACCTTGCCTTTGATTGCCGGAGGGTTTACAGTTCAAAAAACGCTAGATTATAGTGTTCACTATTTTTGTAATAATTTTTCCACTTTTATCGAAGATTAAATATTCATGTATGTGTGTATCAATTTTGAAATTTAGAGTTACTACTTTTTTACCGATGCGGTTACTGGTACTGAGGTTTGCTGAAAATTTTTTGATGAAAATAGGCTGCAGGTGCAGGTCTGCTCTCTTTTTGTTTATTATTGCTTTTGTGATATCAAAAATTAGATTTGTAGAATTTTTGAGCTGTATTTATGTTCACTAATTCCAGCAACGACTTATCCGATTCGGGTTAGGTTTTCACATATTCTCTACGTAGTATGGGTACCAATTCGCAGTTCAACTAGTGTAATATATATGTGATATGTGATTAATAATGTATCCCTTGTTTCATTACTGGTGTCACTCTTAACGACGAATCCTGTAAGTACCTATACATAATAACAGTACTAAGACACTCCTCAACTACACATATGAAATTCCACAATGCAAAACTAATCACAATCACGGTTATTGTATGTCATGTTCTCATAGTATGTCGGATGGTAATTAGATCTATCTTGTCTGAGTTCACCTGCTTTGTCAAAGACTGTATGTAGAACAGTCAAGCACTGCCATAGTACTCTGATGGCGTTAATTAATTGGAACCTGTATGTATATATAATACATTCAAATGTTATTAGGGGCCATTCATAAATTAAGTAAGGGGAGATGGAAAGAATACTACGAGTGGTAATACTTTCCCTCTTTTAATACACATTTTAATAATTACAATTTCGTTATTTAATTCTCAAATATATATATTTTCAATATAATGAATTTAAAACTAACTATTTTTGAATTAAAAAAAACACAAAATCAGAGATTTTATGATTATTTTTTGTTATATAAAGTTAAAGTACTTCAAAGTCACACTAATTGACACGTGTGACATAATTTATGAATGGGCCCTGACTGCCATTAATAAATACTTAATATATTATAGTTTTCAATATTTACAGTCCTATAAATATATAATAAAAATATAACTAATCTTTATTTGTACACAGAAGATATGTAATATTATTGTAGGATAAAGTTCTCCGACTTAATAGAACCCAAAACAATGCTTGGCAATTTTGTGTCTATATATGTGCGTTTAATAATAATAAAATAATTCTAAAGCACGGTAATAGTAAAGTAAACAAATTGAAAAAAAATCCATTGTTCAGAGTTTTAGATGCAAATATTTTGTAATTTCGAAACTTTTCAATTCTACAATAGCGTTTTAATTAAAAACATGATGCCAACAAAGTTTCGCCGCCCGCAGTTCGATTTTCATGATACGAAAGCCTCGAACTAAAAGTATTTTCTTAATGTAATAGGCGTATTGTGGAGGGAGGTGAGAGGGAGGATTCCGGGGGATATATACATGAAATTCATTGCAGATCACTCAGAACGCATCAATATTACGGTCTAGTGGGTAACTAAACAATAATATTATTAATTGATTATCAGAATATGTACACCTGATTCTAGAACATTTCTCAGTGCACTTCTATATTAACACTTAATTTATATTTGTTTGTCTGTGACTTATTCACAACTAAATCACTAAAAAAATTTAACGAAATTAGGCGCAAAGATAAACTGCATCACGTGCAAAATAAAACCAAAACAATTGGTTAAAAATAATATATGTTATTATAAAGACTGCATAATTGATCCTAAGTTCATATTTAATAGACGTGATAGAGCGTATCACACCACTGTTAGAGGAAATTAAAAATAAACAAAAAATATGCCAAGACGCTCGGACTGCGTGGTCATATACTCTACCTTCCCCATCTTATAATTAACGAGTTGTTATTGTATAGACTACCAATAATATGAAATATAAATGTGATACAGCTAGTATATTCATACAACATCAATGAATGAGTTCAACTCAAAGCTATTAGTGTTTCGTTAGTTGTTATAGAACTACTTATAAACAATTGTTTTGAACGTCAGGGACTTTGAGTTCGACTGATATTTATTTAGCTAGTTATTCTCAAATAGAGGAGTCCCATCGGATGTTTGATTTCCGGTAGAATAATGGAAGTTTGAATTTAGGAAATATTAACATAGATAGGTGGGATGTAAATCAAGTTGAAAATGTTATATTATGTATCAATCTTGAATGAAATGACTGAAGTTTGTAGGGCAGATTTTTATTTTTTCATTCTTTCTCGCTCTTAAATCGATTTAATTACATATAAAATATAAACTTAATACGCCAAATTTTAGTTAATTGAAAAATTTTTTAATAACAAATTGGGCTACTAGTATGTTAATTAAAATTCAAAAAGTATGTAAGAATATATAATAGGCCATTTTATGCGCGGTTAATAGCTAAAATGATTAATGAAGGCTTTAGTCTATTAATCATTCTTACTATTACAAGGGAAATCAACACTACATAATCATAACTATTATTCTCGTAAATTTACACTTTCATAAATCAAAATTTTGTGAAAGTATTATTAATATTTCGTTGAATTTTTTTAATTAAAATTTTACTTAATGAACCTAATTTATATATTTAACATATTGAGTTTTTTTTTAATAAAGTATTTTCTCTGGGATTAGACTTTGTGACTCTAAAATATCTATGGAAAAGGCATATTCTGTCCTAATTTACTTGATATTAGTTATATTTCATCCATGTGTTTATTGTTAATTAATGATTCACAAAACAAAAGTCTTCAACTTTTGTTTTGTGAATCATTAATTAATAGTATTGATAACGTTCTATTCTCTTCAATTTGTAATTATTAATGTTTACAAAATAATATTTCAGCATAAATTAATAAACTGAACAATATGAAAAAACTATGATTAGTACCGATACACGATCAAAATCTACAAAAACTATTATAATTATCTACATCATACATTTATTATCAACCAGCTACTCGCCACGGCTTCGCACGGGTGTACATGTATTATATATATAAATCTTCCTCTTGAATCTTTCTATCTATTAAAAAAGCAGCTTCAAAATCCGTTGCGTAGTTTTAATGATTTAAGCATACATTGGGACAGACAGCGACACTTTATTTTATACTATGCAATAATGATAATGGTAATGATAATCATAATTCTGGACAACTCATACAACGCTATCTAGTCACAAGTTGAGGTGAGCTAGTGTATAGCTATATAAGCTTGTATTATATAGGTAACTGAAAACTGGTAGAAATATTTAAATACATTTTTATAAATACTTAATACATAAAAGATACCCAGACCAGACCAAACATTCATATTCATAAATAGAGATATTTGTTCGTACGAGAAATCAAATCAACAACCGTTGGAAGTAAGGCGCGGTACTGAACTGCTAGACCACAGAGTCAACATTTTTTAAGTAAGTAACAATATTGTTTTGGTGACATGTTATATTTGTTGAATGATTTGACCATTACGGCCATCTAAAATGTAAAACCACAGATAACATAATATTACATAGTAAAACTAGTTGCTATATATTATAATCGTCAAAATACAAGATTAATAATATAATTAAAATTACAGAACGTTGTATGTAAACAGTTGATTAGAAACGAAAACGATTTAGTTCAACTAACCCAATTATAAA